CCAACAGCCTAACTAGACAAAAGCACAGTTTATAGGTTTTGTGCTCTAATTATGAACATCATTACTGAATTTAACATTACAGAACAAAATCCACCATATGTTCTAGATTTCTATGCATCATAGATTTTCCAAAATAAGCAAAATATAAAGATAATTTAGTTAAAACTACAAGTAATATGAATGCATTCCATAAAAAAGTAGGAAGCAGAGTAATTGGAGACTGAGCTTAGTGAAAAGAAAAACCTTGGGTTGAAGAAACTATTCCACCAGTCAGAGTCTGCGGCTTTAGGCTCGACTAGAACAAAGCTTAAGTTTTACTTCAATTTCCTATCTTTCTTGCTTTTCTTTGATTTCTTGGGAGGCGCCATGAGAGCTCAAATGAGAAATTGCCCACCTCTTTTTCAGCCTTGAACTTGAAGACTTTGATGGGAAGTGATTCAGTGAAGCGGCCCAGGCGGGGAGAGAAATGTAAAGCTCGCCATTTTTGGCCTTTTTTAATTATAAATAAATGGCATAGCCGCACGGCTATATATTTAAATGGCATAGCTTAGCGTCGGTACTCTTAAAATATAATATATTTAAAAGGTATCGCCGCGCTGCTATACTGGCATCTCTACTCCTAAAATTTTCATTCAAATGTTGTCCACCTTCACAGAGCTTGAAAAATCAATCGTCTGATGTTCGAACGGTAGGAAGGGTCATGATGATGTGTGTACCATCTATGGCTCCACAACAACTGGGCAATCCAAAGGCTTCTTCAAGTTTGGACTTTATTTCTTCCATTCTGTTGGAATCAAGCCACTTGAGATGGTGCTTGGCACGTTCTTCCAATGCTTCAATGAATCTCCAAGTCACCTGGGAAACTGTGGACTGGCCTACCCCGAAGGTAGCTCCCACTGATACTTGAGACTCACAGCTATACCCTATTTATATTTAATTTTTAACGAGTATAGCCACTATTTTTAATTATTTTATTTCATTTTACAGAGTACCTTTTTACGTGTATAGCCGCCCGGCTTTACTATTATTTATTTTTTTGTTTTTAAGGCGTATAGCCGATCGGCTATACTATTTTTTATTATTTTTTAACCAGTATAGCCGCCCGGCTTTACTTTTTTATTTTTTATTTTTTAAAGAGCCGACAGGCTATACCCTTTTTAAATTTAATTTTACCGCTCGGCTATGCGATTTTTATTATTTTTTAATTTTACATAGTATAGCAGCTATACTCTTTTATATAGCCCTTTTTTCTTTTTTTTCTTTTTTTAAAAAGAGTATAGCCGCACGAATTTGCCTTGTTTATATTTATTTTTTAAAGACTATAGCCGGCCGGCTATATGCTTTAAATATAGAGTTTTTTTTAAAAGATTATTTTAGGGTTTGGGTGCTAATATACCACTTTAGCCCATTCGGCTGGAGTTATTTCTTCAATTATTTTGGGCAAGAATAAAAAATGGATTTTATTTATAAGAAATAATAGGAGTTTAACCCATAAATACAACAACAAAAGGGATCCACCAACATTTTGTGGATCAAAGAATGTTGAATATCTAGGTATAAAATTGCTTGAATGCGTTTTGAATCTAAATGTCCATGTCCTAAAAAAAGTCTTCTTGGTATTTACTCTTTTTAACCCCTTTCGTCTAGAGTTAGAGTATGAGAAATATATACGGGAGAAGGAAAGAGACTCAACTCACAACTACTACTCAATCTCACTCAAATACATAAAGAAGGAAATATATATATATATATATTTAAAAGTATAGCCGTGTGATTATACTTTGTAAATATATTCGAATATTTACTGACCTTAAGGTCCAATGTATTGATACTTTTTTAAAACTATCTATACACCTTAAGGTCCAATGTATCCTACTGATAAGATATCTTCCTTTGGTTACTGCAGTTCAATAAGTTGTGAAATAGAGTGCTCTTGCTCGAACCGTAGATGACAATCTAAAATTAAAGTCAATTTCATCCCCTGTAAAGCACGGTAAAACAAATGTTAGCAAGCAAAGCAAGAAAAGGCCACATAGTACCTGGAGAGTCTTAGGAACTGATGGTAACTCCATGGGAGTAATCAAGTGATCAGAGAAAGATACTCTTATGAGAGCATATGATTCCCATGTTGAGGTGTTCGCAAGGACCAACCACCATGCTTCGTTTTTCACCTGTAAAAGAGAATCTGAAGCTCAGTTTGGTTTCTCATTACTAGTTTAGAACAAGAAGAAGTTTTTACCTTAGGGAAATGCGGGGTAAACGCTCTTGATTTGTTTTGCCTGAAATTGGTGTTCACCAGTGTGATGTCTAAAGAGTGAGACTAGGCTGCAGATCCTAGAAGAACAAAATATTCTAGATGCAAAGCTACTGAAATTAGTTAACACGCCTGAAAACAAATAACTGACTTGTATTTCAATAACCTACCCAGCCCAGTCAAAAAGTTGTCCATTCACGTTAAATCTTGACCTGTGGGTTAGTCATCCATGTGTCAACTATCTTAGAAGTCTGTACCTGATACATTTTTGAAGCAGGAAAATTTCCAATCATGGTCTGCAAAGTTGCCTCGGGGAATAGTAGCTGTATGCAGAATATTCCTCTTTTGCTTAGCGAGTTAGAAAGTTCAATATTCATGCATGGCATCATCCATAAGGAAGAACCCCATCAAACCATAAACCACGAAAATAACCCAAAAGATATGAGAAGAGGCTAGGAGGTGAAAACTCTACTTTCTTAAGCAACAAATCATCCGAATGAAAGCGTAATTGTTAAAAAATAATAATTAGATAAATCAAAGCTTCACCATTTTCAGAAACAATTAGTGTACCATTTAAGTGCAAGTGCTGCACATTGTCCTTACAGACAAAAATATATATGGCTAAATTCCAAAGTGGCCCTTCTAACAACACTTTAATGAGTAAGTCATAATTGCTCATGCTTTTGGGGTCTCTGAAGGTCTGGTTAACTCACATCCAATCCTTCCTCAGGCCAGATAAATCTACGTAAATAAGACAAAAGATGAGCTTCTCTTGGAGGTCAAAGGAAAAAAAACAAAAAAAGATAAACAATACAGGAAAGAAGCATGGACTAAAAACATTCAGGGGTGCTCAGCATCCCCGATTAACATCTCTAACTAATCAACTGATATGCTAGCTGTAGAATGTAATAATATAAACAAGGCAGAGTGCCCAATTCACACTAGCACTGGTCTTTTATTTCTGATATTCAAAACCCCAAACAACCTGATTCCTAGTATTAATATTTGAGGCAAATATTCAGAAACTAATATGATTTGTGTTTATTGATTGTTAGGCGGCGGATTGTGATGGACATTTACTCCCATCTTTCTCGTAGAATCTGAGCAACTGTTGATTATAAAGGGAGAAAAGCATGTAATCTGATTCACATATTTCTTTCTTTCCATTTTTTATTCTATGTAGTCATGTGTGACCAAAACCATCATTTGCAATATATATGTGATTGATATTGTAAAATCAACATATCTCTTTGTTTTCCCATCATAATATTCTGTTCCCTGCAAGAGAATCAACACTTGCATAAATTTGTCCTGAAGAACAGCTGCTGCAATCTACTCCTGCTAGAAACCTTTGTAAATATAGGAACCAAATGAAAAAGATACCGCACAAATTTTGCCTTACCTTAATAATGAACAGATGATGACCTGGAAGGTTTACACCCCATGCCAATGTACTGGTACAAACCAATACCTATAATTTAATACATATGCCTAATCAGTATATGGAGTAAGAAAATTATCTTTTTATATTCTCTTTTCCTAATGTGTTTTTAAGGAAAGACTCATGCTTACTGAGGTAAAACAGAAATGCCTGAATCTTGTTGTTTGCAAAAAGCTCCTCAACCATAGATCTATCTTTGTCATTCAGACAGACATGGTGTAATCCAATGTCTGCTGGGGCTTCTTCTGGCATACTAAGAAACTGCCTTGGATGTTCATCTGACGTTGCCAACTTCAATAACAGAAAAGCACAAAAAAAAAAAAAAAAATCGAATCAACGCAGCAGCCGAAACCAAAGAAAAAAAAATCCAAGCTTGAGTTGAGAGAGAGGCTCAAGACCGAGTATTTGAATTTTGAAGATTGGACTGCGAGTGCAAGCTTCATGTTCGTTTCTTTGTCTCTTCATTTCACTCGCGCACCACATTCCTGTGCGAGTGCAAGCTTCGTCTCTCTTCATTTCAAAAAAAAAAAGGATGCCCAGACCCGCCCATGCCTCCTAAAACCGCCCAGGCCGCCTAGGCGCTGCCTAGACCCGCCTGAGCCGCCTAGATCCGCCTAGGCGTTGCCTAGATCAGCCCAGGCCGCCTAGCAGCCGCCTAACTCCCTTATAGCATCAGAGTTGTTATCTTAGTGGAGATTTCAATAGCTGAATGACATTTGATGGTTTTCATAGAGAGCGTCCAGTCCAATCCAATCAACGCATCAGCTGAAACGAAAGAAAAAAAATTGAAGCTTGAGAGAGAGAGAGAGAGAGAGAGAGAGAGAGAGAGAGAGGCTCAAGACCGAGTCTTTGAAGCTTGCAAGTGAAATGGCCGTGTGACTGCGAGTGCAAGCAAGCTTCGTGTTTGTTTCCAATGAATTTAAAGAGTATAGCCGATCGGCTATACCTTTAAAGTATCCGGATACAGTCAAAGAGGGCAGCCGCGCGGCTATACCTTTAAAATAATATATTTGAATAGTATAGCTGCCGGCTATACTCTTTAAATATACAATTTTGTCAATGTTATTTTAGGGTTTAGGGCTTAAAATACCACTTTCGCTAATTAGGATAGAGTTATTTCTTCAATTATTTTATTTATACCAGTGATATTGGGGAATGATAATTTAAATTCTTTCCAATACCTCCCATTCTAATGATTTTCAACTACTAGCCCATTAGGCAAGAATAAAAAATGGATTTTATTTATAAGAAATAATACGTGTTAAACCCATAAATACAACAACAAAAAATAGGGATCCACCAACATTTTTGGGATAAAAGAATCTTGAATTTCATGGTATAAAATTGCCTGTGTAATAATTTAGTTTCTAAAATGTATCCATCGTAATTATGAACTAAACCCAATGATAGCATTTTTCTCATTGCACTTGACAACCCTGCCCTTTTGCTATGAGATATATCAGTTCGTGTTGTATTCTCTGCAAATGAAAAATTGGATACAAAATAGTCTAATGAGACAACGAAGAAAAGAGTTTTGAAATAAATTGAAGGTAGTAATATCAGTCAGGCAGTAATATCCACCCAAAATAATGGAAAATCTGATTCAGGATATTCTTAATGGTCATCCAAATACCTATTATAGAGGACTAAGAGATTTTACTTATGGAGATAACCCATTAAAAAAAAAGAAGCAAAAAAGAAGGAAAATTTCGAGTTCATTCAATTGAAGTCATTCCAGAGCATTTTACCTTGACGTGCTGCTCTTTTACCCCGCCTTATCCATAACCGAGCATACTCTGCTGCATTATTTGTCCATTCCTGCAACTGGACAGATATAGACGTTAAACCACATAGGCGCAACCAATATGAGGGATAAAAACATGGAAGAACTTTGTCCTGCATCTTCCTACGGTGATGCATGTTACACTTCAGGCTATTAATACATTAGCTACAGGGCCTTTTGGAAATGACATTATTAGACTTAATTCAGTGACAACTATAATACATTTGAAGATTTACAACCAAATTCCATTAAGTCACGTGTCACATATAAAATAAGATGCCTTATCGACAACACTTTAAGCTCTGCTTATTGTATCTCAAGTTTTGCCAATTGAAGTTGAAACCTATGCAACTTTGCATCTAGAAAAATGTGTGACCAATTTATTAATAAAAAAAAAAAACTCAAAAGCATTGTTAAGCACCGGATCAAGCTTAACTCAAGCTTCTTACTATTCTCTACAACAAAAAATTTAAATATAAAATATAAAAGAAAAGAGCACACTCCAATAGAGACATTACAGCAAACCAAATTGTCATGAACTTACGTCTGCTCTCTCTCTCTAGACCCTTCTGGTAGTGGTTCACACCTACATAAATAATAATTTTTTTCTTTAAAAGGAGGAAGCATGGTAGTGGAGTTTACAAATGACATTCTGCATACTAGAAAAATAAGAAGGAAAGGAGGATGAAAGACCTAGTTGGTCATTTCCACTTCACAAGAAAATCAGCTATTGAGCCTGTTGAAGATTCAGTGGTAACCTACAAATTAAAAAAACAAGCCACAATCAGTGAAACTTATACATTGGGTCAAACTTTATATACCTTAAGAAAGTTAAAAGGGAAAGAAAAGGACCAGTGACACTAATCTACCATTCCCATCCGACGGTTGCCTTCTATTATCCTCCTTACCCGTTGTTTGAGTGACAAGGTACAAGCAAAAATCTATGAACATTCAATAAAAACCACACAACACATGGATCACATGGACTGTAGAAAATTACCAAGTAGGCATACAAAACTTACCAGATAAGTTTGTCAACATAGTTATTTTGCAGCAAATGCACTTCTACGTTTAAATATTTTATGAATGTCATATGTGAAAAATACAAACTGCTAACCAACTTACCAGAAGTCTATACCTAGGTTAAGAAATGAGTAGCCGAAACTTCTGAAATGGGAGGACAACATCCATGACAAAGAGTGGCATCAAATCAACACCAAAGTTTGTCATTGTATCATTCTCCAACTTCCTTTCGGCAAATTCCTCTGTGAAGTTCTTTTGTATAATGTCGTTAAGTGTCGCACTGGCAAAAACATAAAGAAGATATTGAAGGTAGACCACAGAACTGAAGCAAACAATCTTGGTAAACTCTGAAAGCTATAACACTAATTAAGCACAAAAAATTAGCAAGCACATATCATGCAGACGAACCTAAAATATATGCCTAGCATTGAATGCATGATGGAAATAAAAGTTTGAATGGCCCCACCAAAATGATTTCCTAAATTCATATTCATAGATTAGTAATTTCATATTACTTGGATTTTGTTTATTTCCAAAATCTAGAACCACAAATCCACTAATTGTTATACTCTGTAAAAGTGAGAATGCCAGACTCAATCTATAATAGGTGGAACTCCTGGGGGATGCGCAACCATGCCCATTACAAACAGCATAGGTATAGAAAACCATAAAGCAATAATTCTGATGTCAAATAATACAAGCATCTCATTCAATTATTATAAGCACATGTTCTAGAACTGTTGGGCTTGGGCACAAAGGACATTTGTTACCTGGGAAAATTTAACACAAGTCAAGGACTAAAAAGGGATTAGAAGACATAGACTAACTCAATTACATAGGATCAGTAACAGCAAAACCCACCCAGGCCTCCTAGATCCGCCAGGCCGCCTAGGCGCCGCCTAGATCCGCCCAGGCCGCCTAGGCGCCGCCTAGATCCTCCCAGGCCGCCTAGGCCCCCCTAACTCCATGATGTCGGTGTCCTCCCGGCTAGCGCCTAGGCCGATATCTCGAACACTGCTCAAAACCTGGAACGGGCTTGCTCTGTGCCCTAGACATCCGTAGTGATGAGTTCGAGTCCGATTCGCCAGAATATTAAAAAAAACCGAGTATAGCCGGGCGGCTATACTATTCTAAACAAAATTAAGAAAATACCGACTAAAGCCGCCCGGCAATACTGGTTTTTAAAAAATTTGGTAAAACGGGTATAGCCAATCGGCTGTACTATTTTTAAAATAAAATTAGGAAAAAACCTAGTATTGCCGCATGGAAGTACTATTTTTAAAATAAATTTGGAGTATAGCCGCTTGGCTATATTATTTTCCAAAAAATATAACCATTCTAACCTTTCTAAGTGAATGGATTCATCTTCATAGGAATCTTTGGATCTACAATATGAACCACCTTTGGCTACGATTTTTTCTCTTATTGTTCCTTCTTTTTGTGTAAAATTTGAATTTTATAACTATTGTGCACGAATTATAATAATTTGAGAAAATTTAGATAAATCACATCAACATGTCATGTGGATATGTACACAAGCAATAAAATAACTTCTCAAGTGAGTCAGCGAATTTACTAAAGTATTTTCACGATCACAAATTTATTGATTCAATTTAGCACTCTGGACAAAAATTTGTTTTGATAAGGCTCCATTAACATAATATTTTAAACGTATAGCCGGACGGCTATACCCTTGACATATCATAATATGAATTTCTCTTTTTTAATTACTTTGGGGTCCGCCCCGGTGTCGGGGGAAATTCCGGGGCGGGTCCTGTCATTAAGTATTTTATTTAAAAAAAATTAAAAAACCAATTACTATTTATTAAGTAATATATTTATGAAGTTAATTAAAATATTTAATACTAATTATTCACAAAATAAATAATGATTAAAACATAATTACTAATGAAAGTAATTAAATAAGGCTAAGATTTTTTTTGAATTACTAAAAAGAAAATTTAGAATAAAAATGTACTGACCTAAAGATACCACGTTTATACTTAATATTTAAAAAAACCTCTCCTGACTAACTTTCGTCGGCACATGTCTATCTCGTTGCAATTTTGCTGGATTAGACCTCTCTCGACGACATTACGTCGTCGTGGGAAACTTTCCTTGGCAGAGGTCTAATCCGGCATATAGTTGCTGACATAGACGTATGGTCTTCTTGCTATTTATTTTTAAAAATATATATAAAATTAGTTTCTTTACTTTTATTTTTTGCCCAACTTCTTTAATTTCATATATATGTCATGGAGTAATATCTTTGCCTTTTTTAATTACTTCAATTAGTAATTATATTATTATCCGAATATAGACACTCAGCTATACTGTTTAAATATTCGAATATATTTAGGAAATAGGACAAAGGGCACATGAAAAGATAAGCAACGTCATTATATCACTTCTCATACACATGCAACACACAAACAAGACATAAATTTTCTCCCAACCCTAAGCGCACACAGAGGAACAAAGCTAGAACGTAGATACATACCATAGAGAAATCCATGGTATAGAGAAATCCATATTTTTATTGTTATATTTAAAGTGTATAGCCGCGCGGCTATACTGGTTAAATAGAATATTTTAAATGTATAGCTATGCGGTGGATTATTTTAAACGTATAACCTCTTGGCTATACTCTATAAGCTATAAAAAGAATATTTTAAAAGTAGAGTATAGCGGCACGGCTATACTCCATAAATTATCTATTTTAAAAGGGAGTATCGCCGCACGGATATAGTCCGAAAAAAGAATATTTTAAAAGTATGGCCGTCCAACTATACTCCATAAAAAGAATATTTTAGAGTGACTACACGCCATAAATAGAATATTTTACAAGTATAGCCGCTCTCGGCTATTCCGTTTTTAAAGACGTTCTAACAACAATTCGAGACCCTTCCTTGTTATGTAGCTGAAGTGATGAATGTCCAGATCAATCTCAAAGTTGTTAGGACCCTGCAGGTGAGAGAGCTTGATAAAGTCAAACAACATGGTTTTTATGTTTCATCTTCTTAACACTTAGCAACATAAATGTTCAATATTTACCTTGTAAAAATTGCGTCGAGGGAGTGAAAGAACTGGTTTGTCATTATATGCATGTACAAGCTTCTTCTCAGCAAAACTCATTCTGAGATCTTCAGGATTTACCACTCCAGTCAAGATCTTTAGTCTTTCTCTGAAAGGTATAATGGAGTCCTTTGCGAATCCTGTAACTTTTTCCGTCTCATCGTCAACCATTTTCTAAAAGCATCATTCAAATATACCAACAGACTGAGTGTTCCAATAGAACATAAGATCATTTCCATTAGGGAGAGTACATCAGAATAAAGTACATGCCTATCCAAACAGAGTTACCTTGATGCTGTCCTGGAATTAAGAAGAGATGCCTTTATCAAAGTTCTTAGAAACTTTGAAATACATTACAAGAGTCATCCTCTCTCCATCACTATCACCAAGAAACATTGCAGCAAGATAAGTAGGCAACTGCAACAAGGAGCAGAGCAATATCATTAGATATTGCCAAGACAAACTAAACATAACAAGATAAATCAATTCTGAAAAAATACCTGTATGTTTACAATGAACACTTTCCCATTTGCTTTCACTTTGGGAAGCTCAGGATGCTGGGCAATGTGATGTATCTTTTTGGGGAATGCAGACACATCAACACCTATTGGAGTATATGGACTGTAGTTCGGAGCAGTTGACTTTCGTTATCCCTGGATGGTAGACCAACATAAAATAATATTATCATTAGCAAGGCAGAACAGAATAATTAGTTGCAAATGTCTAAATTCAGTTAAGGTTGGTTTTGACAAAAGAAAAAACCAAAGTCATACTTGAAATAGTTCTCGCCACGAAATTTAAAAGTTGAGGGTGGAATCTCAGACCAAGATCCTAAAGTCGGCTTCTCTACTCTACAACATGGAATGATATATCCTGGTCTAGGCCGATACAAAAACCTTTTTGATTGACCTACGGATATATCATTGAAATGTTCAGTAATACACATGTACATCAATCAAAATATTCTAAGTTTTCTTTCTATTCAAAGAAAATTGAATTATTTGAATGCTTACATTGTTCAATGGTTTCTTCTGCATCACAAGATCTCCTTTTAAAAGAAAGTCTGAAAACGGCTGATGGCTTTCTTTGGGACTGCGGAACCAAACTCTGTGCACTTAGAATCTTATCGTTGAAACTTACAGAAGGTACCAATCGAGATAAGCAGGATTTCAGGGCATTGTCTTGAATTTTTTCATTGGAATCACGTCCATCCTCTGTAAGTCCTTTAAAGCTTCCATAAGAGTGATCTAATATATTCTTCCCCTTACTGCAAACTTCATCAGCCTTCCCTAAGTGAGAAAGTGTAAGAGTATCAATGATGATATTGCCAAGTGTCAACAGATCAATGAGTAAGCTGTTAGAATGTGGTTAGAGTTGTTAGCAAAGTGAGTAGCCAGCTAGACTGTAGTTAGGCTGATATAAAGATTGTAATGTGCTCAGTTAGAGCTTAACGAAATACAGAAACCTACATTTCCTTCTTTGAAATTCTCTCTGCTTCTATGGTTTCTTTACTCTGTTTTTCAGTTCCTTTTCATCTTGACATGGTATCAGAGCCAGGTTAGCCCACGTGTGAAAGCTCAAAGGCCACACGTGCTCCACATCAACCAATATGTGTTGTCCACATGCTAGGCTTGAAAATTCACCACACGTGTGGGGGCGTGTGAGAATGTGAAGGTAAAGAGTCCCACATTGGAAAGTTAAGAAACCTAGCAAAGGTTATCATCGAGAGAAGGAAAGGGATTTTTCTTCTGAGAATCATATGCCCTTTGTTAAGATAAAATTTCCCAGATTCAGCGATGGGGATGATCCAATTGAATGGATTTACAAGGCGGAGCAATATTTTGATTACTTTTCGGTGCCCTCTGAGAAAAAGGTAAAAATGGTTTCTTTCCATCTTGATAGTGAGGCTCTGCAGTGGTATCAATGGGAGGAATGTGCTTCTTCTTTGTCCAAATGGGAAGATTTTACCAGGGCATTTTGTAGAGAATTTGGCTCTCATGGGTTTGAGGATTTTGCAAAGTCGCTCTTTAAGCTTCGTCAAACAGGTCCCTTAAAGGATTATATCACTGAGTTCTACCGCTTGGCAACTCTAATCTGTGATCTTAGTCCGACTTTTCGATTGAGCTGTTTCGTTGGAGGATTAAGGGAAGAACTCAAGCATGATGTCAAGTTGCTTCGTCCTGCTACAGTTCATAAGGCCATGAATTTTTCTCATGAAGTGGATGCTAAACTCCAGAAGTTGAGGTATGCACATTCTGCTGGAATTTCTAAGTCAAGATTGCCTCTTTTACTCATACAAAATGATTTAGTTCCCGCTAAAAATGAAATTGTTCCTAGGAAGGATATGTCTATCCAGAAATTAACCCCTAAAGAAATCCAATATAAATGGCAGAATAATCTTTGTTTTTATTGTGATGAAAAATTTGTGAGGGGTCATAAGTGTACAAGGAAACAAATCTTGTTGTTGGATATGGGTTATAATAGTTCTGAGGAAAAGGAAATAGTTCATGAATTACAAAAAATTGAACAAGCTGCTAAGGTGAATGCTTGTTGTATCATAGCTTGTGCTTTTATGGTACTCTTGCCCCTATTGCTATTAAGACTATAAAACTCACTGCTGTAATGAAGAACAGTCCTGTTGTGGTATTGTTAGACTCTGGAAGCTCTCATAATTTCATCGATATTGGCATGGTTAAGAAGTTGGGTTGGAAGTTAGATCATTCTCATATTTGTGATGTCATGATAGCTGATGGTGGACAAGTTCTGAGTAAAGGTTGTTGTGCTGTGGTTCCTTTAGCCATCGAGACTTATATATACCTCCGATATGTTTGCTTTGCCATTGGGAGGCTGTGACATTGTGTTAGGGGTTCAATGGTTGAGAACTCTAGGTCTAATCTTGTGGGACTTTGAGAGATTAACTATGAAGTTTTG